GCTTCAGTAGTTGTGGCTCTTGGGCTCTAGAGTGCAGGCTCAGTAGTTGTGGCGCACAGACTTAGTTGCTCCATGGCATGTGGGATCTTCCCAGACCCTGGATCGAACCTGTATCCCAGGCATTGGCAGGTGGATTCTTAACCACTGCACCACCAGGGAAGTCCCTGTATTACCTTTTAAACTCTCAAATTATCATCTGGTTATTCTTTGGCATTTTCATATTTCTCTTATGACTATGTTTTCTTTTAAACCCCTTAATTTTTGTTTTTGTTTTTGTTTTGCGGTATGCGGGCCTCTCACTGTTGTGGCCTCTCCCGTTGCGGAGCACAGGCTCCAGACGCGCAGGCTCAGCAGCCATGGCTCACGGGCCCAGCCGCTCCGCGGCATGTGGGATCTTCCCGGACCGGGGCACGAACCCGTGTCTCCTGCATCGGCAGGCGGACTCTCAACCACTGCGCCACCAGGGAAGCCCTAAACCCCTTAATTTTTGACAGTAGCTGTTTTCACATTCTTATCTACTGGCTTCAGGCCATCTCTGGTTTCTGACTCTGCTCCCAGCCTGTTTTGTCTCTGCTAGTGCCTTGCAGGCTACTAACTACCAACTTGGAGTCTGTTAACTTTTGATTGGGTGCTGGACACTGGTGTTGATTCTCTCCTGACAGCAGCTAATTGACTTGCAAATCAGTTTCAGAGCCTCCTGGGCAAGTCTGAATGTGCCTTCCCTGTAGGGCCAGCCTAGTTCCGCAGGACAGGGCCTCGGCCTGGCTCTCCACGTCTCTCCACACGGGTTCGCAGGACTGGAAGGTCCTCTAGACCCACATGAGCTCAGCGATGGCAATAGCCTTGGTCGTGTGCTTTCCTTGTCCTCACGGAGTCTCCACCCTGCGAGCTCAGCAGCCGCGGGGACCCAGGCAGGACCCACAGCTCCTGGCTGCTGCGTCCATGTGGCATGTGGCAAGCCAGCCCCTCGAGCTCCCCCGGCTTCAGGCTCTGCCCCCTGCCCTGCCCTCCCTCAGTGCCCAGGCCTGCATCTCAGACAGTCGCTTTGAGGGTCCAGCACCGCTACCTCCCTTTTGGCCTGAAGCAGGAGTCGCTGGTGGAGTTTTAGCCTTGAAGTCAACATGAGGCCACTGAGCGATGAGGCAGGACGGACGTGGACCTGGGTTCCAAGGGGTAGCCCTGCTTCTCCAGGGTAAAGGAGGCGGCCGTGGGGGCAGCTTGGGCCTTGGGAAACTCAGCTCAGTGGAGCAAGAGGAAGTGCACGCCTGGGAGGGGGAGACGCAGGAGGAAATGGACGGCTGGCAGGTTGTCCTTGGGCCTTGTCCTCAATCAGGGCAGTGGGTCCTAGCGTGACACCGGGCCTTGTGCTCAGCTCTCAGTTGGGGCCAGGCCCAGCAGCTGCATTCTGGTCGTCCTTTATGTTCCCACTGCTGCCCGCCTACTTCTCTTGTTCATGGAGGTGAGTGGTGACTACTTCAAGGGTCCCACCTCCTTGGGCCACCTTCCTCACTTTTCTTTCCTTTTCTTCTCATTGTTTATATTTTTCAGTCTAAATGCTTATACTGTTTTACTTATGATTCATCCTTGGAAACGAGAAATGGCCAGAACATGTGTGGGCCCAGGTCCTGCTCCGGTAACTGGTCCTGCACCCCTCATCCCCCGAGGCCCAGGCCTCCTTCCGCCTCGAGAGTGCCGAGTCTATTTTTACATCATTCTCATCCGGGAAAGTCAATTGTGTAGCCGTTGACTCTGCTGAATCTGTAGTTTCCCTCAAAGGTTCTCCCATTTCTGCACCACATTCTGGAAGGATTTCTCAAATCAATCTTCTAAATCACTAATTCAGACTTCAGCATCATTCATTCTGCTTTTCACCTGTTAGGGTTTTAACGTTGTGCGTGTTACACATGAGGGTGTAGACGAATAGATGCCGTTTACTGATCGCGGTCCTTCAAATTAGCAGTCTTGTCTGGGTTTCTCTGGACGCCTCTGGGGTCTCGGGAGCCCCGAGTGGCCACAAAGCGAGGCTGTGCCTCAGCGAGGGTGTAGGCTGCACCAGCTACACCTGGAGAGGTTGGTGAGTAGGCCGTCTGGGGTGAACTCGGGCAGGTAGGCCCCCCAGGAAGCCCGCGGCTGCCCTGCTTTGCAGCGTTATGGTGGCCATGTTTCCCAGCAGTTTGAGTGTCAGTGGAGAGGTGGGTGCTGATGGCTTGGGCTGGTGGCTGCAGAGGACACAGCTGCCCATCAGTTGCCTGCCAGGTTTGAGTGTGGACCAGCCCTGAGGGGCGGTGTGATGGGCGAACAAGGCGGGCTGTTCCCCGCATGCCTTCCCAAGGGCCGTGGGACATAGGCAGGAGCCCCCAGGCCAGGTGCGGAGGTGTCTTCTAGCTGGAGGCTGCCATGCGCCGGGTGCTTCTCCCAGCTTTGGCCGCCGTCTCATCCGAGAATTAGGCAGTAGAGGGCTCGTCACCCATGTGGCCCCGACAGCTGCACCAGGATGGCAGGCCCTCGGGGAAGCGGCCTGTTCTCACCCTTGATCACCACTCCTGGTGGCCTTAGCTGCACAGCTGAGCCATGGAGAAAAGGGGACCCCCATGCAGCTGACCATCCCACCCCAAAGCAAAACGCATTTGTTAGGAGGTGTCAGGAGGGGCACAGGGACCGTTCCCCTTAAGCCCCTTGCTGACGCAGTGGAGGAGCTAGTGGAGCATCTGAGGTCTTGCTGGTCTGGGAGATGAGAATTGAAGGTCGGGCCCCCCCAGTGCTGTCCACGGGGAAGCTGGGCCCAGGCCACGGGACCCCCGCTGTCCCCCGCAGTGGAAGAGGGCCTGGCGGCACCACAAACCCAGACTGTCGGGAGCCAGCAGTTTTCAGGAAACTCCAGGGCGAAGCCCAGTCGGCCCGAAGCAGCTCGAGACCAGAGGCCCAGGGACCCCGACGGGCCAGGCAGGGCTGCAGGAGAGACCACCAGCCCAGGGCGGGCACATTTTGGGCACAGGGCTTTGTTAACATCCTAGACAGTGAAGAATAAGAAATAATTAGTTTGGGCCTCAGAACCAGGAAAACTGGTTTTCCAAATTAATCCAGGAAGAGCTGTGAATCCACACCATCTCCTGCCACACACTGTAAGACCCTATCGTGATCCATAAAACTGACCTATTGAAAGCCTAGCTCTTCTCTCTCCAGACCCTTTTGAGGCCGGCATCTGTGACCTCACGTTCTCCCCAGTCACTAGGATCAAGACCCAGCTTTAATTACAAATCAGAAATTGAGGAGCTGGGTGTCAGCTGAGTCTCATCCGGCCGTGGGGCCCCTGGCCTGGGTCTTTGGTCTCACCTCCTTCCTCGATGCCCCCACGTGGCTCCGACCCGTCGGCTCCTGTGCAGGGAGGCCCGCAGGGCCCCAGCAGATGCGCGTGAGTGACCTGGACAGGGACATGGCCGTTCTGCTACTCAGGGGCTGTCTGCTCATTCAGGTCTTATTTTTTGCAGAAATGTGTCCATTTGGTTGGACAGTTGAAAATCTCCTTATTTCTCTTGTCACTGTGGCGACTGTACCATTTTCATTGTGGGTTTATTTGCTGGTGGTGCTGGTCCCCATTTCCTTCTACTTTGCTGACCTGTGGCTCCTAGTGTCTTGTTTCCCCTTTTCTGAGGCACGTGCTTGAGGCAGTTTGTCTCCCTTTAGACACGTCCGCCGTGGACCCGTGTGCTCTCACCTCCCAGCACCTAACACCCCGGTCATCCCAGAGGCCCTGGTCCCTCCCAAGTCTTACCCTCCCCGCTCCCCAGCCAGGGGCAGAGCCTGGGCCAGAGCAGAGCCGGCTGGTGTGAACCTTACATCACACCTTTCATAAAAAACTAATTCGAAATGGATCCGAGACCTAAACATAATAGCCAGACCTGTAAAACTTTTAGAAGATCTTTACATCTTTGAAGGAGGAAAAGATTTCTTAGATGCGACACAGAAAGCAGAATTGTAAAGTTTTTTTAAATTGATAACTTGGACTTCCTAAAAACGTAAACTTCGCCTCTTTGAAAACTGTGTAATGAAAAGGCCGCAGCTGGCCGTCATACATCTGACGGAGGACTGGCTCCGGGTTCTGCTAGGACTTCCAGCTTAGGGAGACATGGGGGTGTCCTGGGCTGCACCCCAGAAGCCCTCGGCTCTGCCTCTTGCCCTCCCCAGCCTCCAGCCTGCCCTCCCACTGTGGTCACCTGGAATCTCCTCACCCGCGTTTGTGCAGCCCACAGGAAGCTCTGCGTGCAGCTGGCACTGGGGTCCCTGGGGCTCCACAATCAGAGGCGTCTGCCTGGGGGGCTGCTCTGTTCCACCTTTGCTCTAGGAGAGCCTGGCACCTGGTAGGGAGGGTGGGATGTGAACCCTGCAGCCTCTCCTCCCCTCAACTGAAGACCACCCACTCCCTATTCCTGCCCGCATCCTTGACAACAGGGTCAAAATCAGGCAGGAAGGTGCCATTTTCAAGTCACTAAAACAACTTACAAGCCTGTCCTAAGCACCCCCCACCCCTGTGAGGGGCATGTACCACAGGTGCCGTGGCGCTGGTCCTGGCCCCGACACCTGGGTGGACCACTGAGCAGCCAGCTGGAGTCCTGGGGTACCCAGGGCCTGTTGATTAACAGTCACGGTGACAGTTGCCACAAACACAAACTTGTCACCTCCCAGTTGTGTAACTTCAGTGGCCTCCAAGCAGGGTCAGAGGCCGGAATCACAGTGTTGACAGGTGGGGTCCTCCCCAGAGGCACTGGGTAGCGTCCGCCTCTGAGATCATTTAGGATGTAGACATTGTGGGGTTGGTCTGAGGGAGGCGGGGCAAGTGGCCTGTCGGGGGGCTTGGGGCCTGGGCCTCCTGGGCATCTGGGGGTCAGCACAGGCTGCTGGGAAGGACGGGACCCCCAGCCCCCATGCCTCTGGTGTGGACTCCATGCATCACCATGGAGCACATGAAATGCAGTGGCTGGAGGGATCTCTCCCCCCCGCAGATGGTCCTCATCATCAGTGGGAATCTGAGCTTCCTGAACTGGCTGACCATCGTGCCCAGCCTCGCCTGCTTCGATGATGCCACTCTGGGCTTCCTGTTTCCCTCGGGGCCCGGCTGCCTCAAGGACCAAGTCCTGAGGATGCAGGAGGAGGAAGCTCGAGGGGCCAGGGCCCCACGGACACACGGTGGGTGACACCTGAAGGCGGATGTGGCTGGGCAGCCCGGGTGGTCTCGAGTTGATGGCACCCAGCCCTGTGCCCACACCAGTGCCCTGGGAGACAGGGCAGCATCTCCATGCCTGGACAGGGTCACTCCTGTCTGCTTGGTATGGACAGTGTGTCCTGGTCCTCAGGAAGGGAGGCCCAGTGACCTCAGCTGGGGGGCCTAAGAGGGAGCTGCTGTGGTGGGGGCAGCAGCACCTCCCTCGGCTTCTGTGGGCCCAAGGGGCCGAACAGAGGCCAGGCCTGGGGGCAGGAGCCCACCCACTATTCCCCCTCCCGGCAGGCAGCGTGGCACGGCACACAGTCAACCTGGCGCTGGGCGTCCTGGTCGCCTGGCTCAGCGTCCCTGTGGTCCTCAACTTGCTCAGCCCCCGGCAGGTCATGAACAGCTCCTTCAACCCTCTCCGGATCGTCAACACATATGGGGCCTTTGGCAGGTACCTCGGGGCCACCATGACCCCAGGGGGGAGACGTGAGGGTGAGGCCAGCCCCGACCTGCAGCCCCCCAGCCTTGCCCTGGTCTGCTCAGGTCAGGGGTTGGGGTCAGGGTGGGGAGGTGCAGCCCTGACTGGTCTCCCCCCCACCCAGCATAACCAAGGAACGCACGGAGGTCATCCTGCAGGGCACCGCCAGCCCCAATGCCAGCGCGCCAGACGCCAAGTGGGAGGACTACGAGTTCAAGTGCAAGCCCGGTGACCTGAAGCGGCGGCCATGCCTCATCTCCCCGTACCACCACCGCCTGGACTGGCTTATGTGGTTCGCTGCCTTCCAGGTGGGGCCCTCGGTGGGGAGGCCCCGCCGACACGGCGAGGCCCGGGAATCCTGTGCTGGGGCACAGCCCGTGGGGAACCTTCCCAGGCTCCTGGCACGGCCCTTGCACGAGGATCTGTGGGTGCCCAGGGCTGGGCCTCACAGCCGGCTTCTCAGAGCGCTTCCACCAGAGGGGCCGAGGCATGTGTGGCCAACGCTGGGGCAGCCAGTGTCCACAGAGGCTGCAGCACTGTTGCCATCCCTTCTTGCCCAGGAAGATAGCCTCCGGCGGGCTCGGTCACTTGCCCGAAATCCCTGGCCCGGCAGGTGACAAAGCTGACAGGTGAACTGGGAACAGCCCCGCTCCATCCAGGTCCCTGCGGACAGCACAGTGGCGGCGGCGCCCAGGAGAGCGAGCAGGACCGGGGGCCCTGCAAGAACAGGAAGGAGGTGGTCCCAAACCAAGGAACTGCAGCATAGGCCCCAGGGCAGCGCCCCCTCAAGAGAGGCTGGCCGCCAGCCACACTGGAATCAGGTGCCCCCAGGACAACAGACTGAAGGCCGGGTGACCGTCAAGAGGGAGGGGGTGGAAAGCACACATCCACGGGGCTCTCCAAGGGCCCGGTGGCAGTGCAGGCACCCAGCTATCTGCGCCCTGTCCTCTTCTCACCCCCAGACCTACGAGCACAACGAGTGGATCATCCACCTGGCAGGCAAGCTCCTGGCCAATGACGCCCAGGCCCTATCCCTGCTGGCCCTTAACCCCTTCGCAGGCAGGGCACCGCCCAGGTAAGATTCCCCTCCCAGACAGGAACACACACCCCACCCCACCCCCGCCAACTGCAGCTGCCTTTCAGGGCTTCTCCCCAAATGCAGGGGTCTGCTCCGGGGGCTGGGCCCACCTGCTGAAAGGATGCAGGGCTTGGCCCGATTGGCTCTGAGCACTCGGCCCTCCCGGTTCCAGAGCCCCGCCATCATCTGGTCAGGGGCCTGGTTGTGCCAGGGGCTCCTTGGGGCTCTCTGGCTTCCCCTGGGTGGCCTCTCCCTCTGAGGACTCCAGGCCTGTCTTGGGGGCGGAGGCTGACTGTGCTGCCCTTGCTCTGCAGGTGGGTCCGGGGAGAGCACTACAGGTACAAGTTCAGCCGCCCTGGGGGCACACACGCCGCTGAGGGCAAGTGGTGGATCCGGAAGAGGCTCGGCCCCTACTTCCCCCCGCTCAGCTTTCAGGACCTGAAGGGTTACTTCAGGTCACGGGAGTGGCCGTACCCCAAACCCGAATAGAGGTGGCCCAGGGCTTGTGCCCCAAGAAATAAAGTGGGAAGACCGCGGGCTGGCTGCTCTGAGTGGGGTCTCCACAAGGACATCCAGGGAAGCTGACCCGGAGAGGAGGGGCTGCCAGGGTCCTGGGTGGTCGTCTGTGCTTTCCTATCTCCCCACAGTCAGTCCCTGTGGTTCCCAAGTCTCTTCACTTTGGGTTCGTCAGAGGAATCCCCAGAAAGCCCCCAGCCCCGCTCCACCCAGATCGCGCCCCTTGTCACCAGGCACCCCCCCGCCCCAGACACCAGCATCCCGATGCTGCACCCAGCTCTGGTCTGTCCCAGGACCACCTGCCCATGCGGCCAAGAAGAAAGCCTGCCTCTCCTCTCTGCTCCCCCAAGCGGGTCCCCACCACGTCCAGGAGGGTCTTGCGCGAGGAAGTAGTCAGGGCTCCCTCTCAGAACCCACATGCGCCCACATATGCTCTTCTCCACAGTGACCAGCGCCCGAAGGTGTGGACAGAGGGCCTCTGTCCTCCTTGGGTGGGCCACCCCCACCAGCCCTGAGTGAGGCGCCTCCTCCCCTCCTTTGTGACCACGTTGCCCAGTCTCACACCTGGAGCCTCCTGCTCCCTGACCTAGGGTGGGAGGACGGGACAGCAGGGTGGTCAGCCCCAGCCTGGGCGCCGGGGTCCCCAGGGCAGCGATTCTGAGGCCCAGTCACTGCAGGTTGAACTGTATTAATGGTGTGTTGCTTGGCAACCCTACTGGGCTGTGGCCCAGAACCTCTACAGCCTGATGTCAGCGGTGAGTGGACACCCACCTGCCCCCCACCATCCGGGGCGCCTGCCGCGCTGTGGAGGGAATGAGGTGGTTCAGGCTAGGGGGCCAGGCTGAGGTGGGCACAAGTGTGGATCTGTGTGGAGGCCTCCCGCCTGCCTGGGGGCCTGGCCGGCCCAGGTGCCAACAAGAGAGGCTGTGTTCCTGCTCGCAGGCAAACAGGCGCCCTGTGTCTGTCGCAGGACAGACAGGGCCTCAGACAAGGAGCCTGGAGCCAGCAAGTCTGCCTGCAGCAGCCGCGTAAAAGTACCACCAGCCTGCTGGAATGGGCAGCCCTCACCGGGGGGCTGTCCTTGGGACCCTGGCAATGGGTAGGAGCACCAGGGGTGCCCCTGTGGGGCCCGGGGTGGGTAGGGGGCCTGAGGAGATGCTGTGTCTTGGCTCGGGGTGGCCCTGCAGCCCCAGAACCACAGGTGGCCTCCCTGCCAGGAGCCATGGTGGGTGCCTGCTCTGCCAACCCTTCCCACCACACTCTGGGCTCGCAGCCACCCAGGGCTCAGGCAGGGGAGGCCCCCAGCACTCCTTGGTGTGGGCTCCTCTCTGAGCCTTGGTCCAGCTGTGCCCCCCAAGGCTCCTGGGACAGCCCCCCAGACATACACAGGAGGCTGTGCTTAGACCTGTGGGCTGGGTGGGGCCGGGGCTGGAGCCGGTGGCAGGAGTGACACAGGAAGCCCTGAGCCCATCCGGGGGGCGGTGGGGGGGGGGGGGGCAGGAACTAAGAGGCCCCACCCCTCCTGGGACAGGGCAGCATCCTCTCACCCCGGGGGACGTCCCAGGTGATCCCTGGTCAGGGTGGGCACATGGCCCTCTAACAAACCAAAGACTCTGCCAGACCTGCACACCCTTCCAGAGGCTCTGGTCCCCCAGGGCCCACCCATCTGCCAGAAAGGGTGCCAGCCCCACCTTCAGAGCCTGTCCTGAGACCACACCCTCCCATCAAGGACAGCCAGACTGCACCTCTCCTCCACTCAGAGCCCTCCCAGGGCCCCCACCTCACTGAGCATGAACCTGGGGTCCCTGCCTATCACCTCCGCCCACTCCCCTGCATCCTCTCCATCCCGCATGCCCACCAGCCGTGTTGGGCCCCAGGGCCTTTGCACTGGTAACTCGTGGTGCTCACCTCTCCCAGGGCCTCCTCTCCTGCCTCTGCTGGACTCCAGGCTGCTCCTGGTCACACACGGGTTGGCGGGGGGCTCATCCTGGCCCCCCAGTGCTGGATACACTGTTGACCTGATGAAAGAGAAAGGCCCAGTCACTTAACGTCTGCTCCACCTGATGCTGCCTCAGTCCAGCTTCAGGACAGTCAGCTGTTTCGGGGACAGGGGGCGGGGGGGGGGGGGCGCGAGTGCAGGGCAGGGACACAAGGTGGGGCCTTGGCTCGCCCCTCCTGGCACCTGTGTCCCCATGAATCATCCACCTGGCAGCAGGGGATGCTTGCAGGTGAGGGTCCACCTTATTCAACAAGAGGCTCAGATGCATGTTGGAAACTGAATTTCACCTTCTAAAACCAGGAGTCAGCCTGAGGCTCCTGGGGAGGTGGCAGCAGAAGTCTTCTCAGACCACAGGAGGGGCGGCCTGCTTGCGGAAGGGGCTGCCCTGGAGAGGGGTGAGCAGGGCATGACCAGGGCACCCTGACTTCCAGAGGGACTGGGAATTTCAGATCTGTTCTTCCCACCTGCTCTCTTGAGCCGACGCCCCCTGGAAACCACTGCCTGACAAGCTGGCCCTCGCTGAGACCCCCACCCAATCTGAGGGTGTCTCCCCCTGCAGAGCACTCTGCCCCATGGCTCTCACATCTGAATGGGGTCTGTCCGGTGCTGGCAGCAACACCCAGGCCCAGCCGGGACCCCATAGGCTGCAGAGTGTGCCCAGCCCCCCACCCCCCACCCCCAGCTCTCCAACTGGAGGGCGCTGTGCTCAGCCCTCTTGCTCCAGGATGGGACGTGGGACTCAGGACTCCAGTCACAGGGCAGTGGCTGAGCTCAGGTGATCCACTGAACCTGGCTGTCGGCCCATCCAAAGCTGTGGGCTCAGCAAGGGGCCTGTCTCAGGGAGGACCCACTGTCTCCCTCTTGCTCCAGGACAGGGCGAGGGGTTCGGGTGCAGGTCCCGTCCCCACGAGGAGGGTGTGTACCAGCCTCCCTCTGTCAGAGGGCCTCTGGGCATCTTCCCCTTCACCAAGAGGTTTTCACTCAGAGGTGATCAGTGCATCTTGGGTGCCTGCTGAGGCCAAGCCCACCCTCTGTGCAGCCTAGTTCAGATCAGAGCCCTCCCATGGGGCGTCCCTGGTCAGGGTTCACAAGCCCTCCTCTCCCTGGGCTTCTGCATCTGCACGGGCATGGCCTGACACTTTGCGCTCTTAGGCCACCAGCTCTGCAGGGACAGGGTCAGCAAACTCCCAGCCTGGTGGCTTTGTGGGAGCAGGAAGATCTCCACATCAATGCGTGTTGAGTTCAAGCATGTTACCAGTTATTAGAACGGGCCCGTGAAGACGCAGAAAACCTGAGCTGTCGTGGAGCGCTTCACTGCCTTCCTCCATTGTCCCCAGCGTCCCCCACCACCTCTGGGCCCCACCGTGGAGTGAGGCTTCTCCCTCCTGATGTTCATCCAGGGCTTCTCTCTTGTCTCCTTGTCATTCTTCTCACAGCTCCAGCTTTGGCTTCTTCAGTCAACTGTCCTCTTCCACTTAATGTTTCACATACATACATTGTTATTTCCTTCCACCTTTTTCAGGTTTGCCTTCCGTCGTCTCCTCGAGTTGCAGACTTTATTTCTTTCTGTCCCCTCTTCTGATTTCTAGGAAACACAGCTAAGGACCCCACACACACAAGTGGCTGCACCCACAGGCTCTGTTGACCACTGTGGGCTTTGTGAATTCTAGAGACTGTGATGTCCTCTTAACACATCAAATAATAGAGGTGGGGATTTAAATGTTCAAACGAATGGATTTGGGAGGCAGTCTTTTACCTTGGATTTTATCACCGTGTTTGCCACTCCCAGCACCCCTCACCCCCCCATGCCTCCAGCACCCTGGATTAATGCCCCTTTCACAAGTGAACAAATTCTGGTAGAAAGGATACCTCCAATTCTGAGACAGCTACTTGCATCCCTCTGCTGAGGGGTTCCCTAGTTCAGTTAGCATCATGACAACCTGTCCCCTGGATCCATCCCTGCCCTGTATCCCACAGCCTGAGGATACCATGGACCTTTGTCCCCAGGGATTCAGTTCCAAAGCCACTGGGTAAGGTGGAACTCACATGTCAGCAAACTGACCTTTAAAGCTCCTAAAGTAATCAGCAAAATTGACAGAACTGTAGCTTGACTGACAAAAAGAAGATACAAATAACTAAAATCAAAGTTAAGTGGGGACATTACTACCAACATTACAGACATAAAAAGGATTACAAGAGAACAGTATGAACAACTGTAGCCAACAAATCAGGTAACCTAGACAGTGGACAAATTTCTAAAGACACACAAAATGCTAGAAGTGACTCAGGAAGAAATAGGAAATTTGAAGAGATCTATAGCAAGTAAGGAGATTGAATCAGTAATCAAAACCTCCAGCAGAGAAAATTACTGCATCAGATGGCTTTGTTACTGAATTCTCCCAAGAATTAAAGAAAAATTAACACCAATCCTTCCAAAACTTTTTCCAAAGAATTAGAAAAGGAGGTAGGACTTCCCTGGTGGTGCAGTAGTTAAGAATCCACCTGCCAATGCAGGGGACACAGGTTTGAGCCCTGGTCCAGGAAGATCCACATGCCTCAGAGCAACTAAGCTTATGTGCCACAACTACTGAGCCTGTGCTTCAGAGCCCAGAAGCCACAACTACTGAAGCCCGTGCTCCGCAACAAGAGAAGCCACCGCAACGAGAAGCCCATGCACTGCAGCAAAAGATAGACCCCGCTCGCCGCAACTAGAGAAAGCCCAGGCACAGCAACGAAGACCCAACACCACCAAAATTTAATTAATTAATTAATTTTAAAAGAGGCGGGAACACTTCCTAACATCCTGTGGAGGCCAGTATGACCCCGGTAACAAGGCCAGACAAAGACACCAGTATCCTTCGTGAATAGAGATACAAAAATGCTCAACAAAATACTAGCAAAACAAACCTATCAGCATATTAAGAGGATTATATGCCATGACCAAGTGGTATTTATCCTAGGAATGCCAGAGTGGTTCAACATAAGAAAATCAATCAAAGTAATACACCACATTAACAGAATACAGGGGCAGAAAGAAAAACATGATCATCTCAACTGATGCAGAAAAATCATTTGAAAAAAATCCAACACACTTTCATGATACAAACCACTCAGGGGCTTCCCTGGTGGCGCAGTGGTTGAGGGTCCGCCTGCCGATGCAGGGGACACAGGTTCGTGCCCCGGTCCGGGAAGATCCCACATGCCGCGGAGCAGCTGGGCCCATGAGCCATGGCCACTGAGCCTGCGCATCCGGAGCCTGTGCTCCGCAACGGGAGAGGCCACAACAGTGAGAGGCCCGCGTACTGCAAAAAAAAAAAAAAAAAAAGAAAGCTAGGAATAGAAGGGAACTTCCTCAACGTAATAAAAGGCATGTATGAAAACTCCACAGCTAATATCATACTCAATGGTGAAAGACTGAAAACTTTCCCTCTATGACCAAGACCAAGACAAGGATGCCCCTTTTCACCACTATTCAACACTGTACTGGAGGTCTAGCCAGAGCAATTAGTCAAGAAAAATAATTAAAAGGCTTTGAATTGGAGAGGAAGAAGTAAAACTATATTAACAGATGATATAATCCTATAATATAGAAAATTCCAGCAATCCACAAAAATATTATGGGAGCTAATAAACTAATTCAGCAAAGTTGCAGGGTATAAGATCAACACACAAAAATCAGATGTGTTTCTATACCTGCAATGAACAGTCTGAAAAAGAAACTAAGGAAACAATACCACTTATAATAGCATCCAAAAGAATAAAATACCCAAGAATAAATTTAACCAAGGAGGTAAATGACTTGTACACTGAAAAGTACAAAACATTGCTGAAAGAAATCAAGGAAAACATAAATGCAGTGAAAGGCATCCATATCCATGG